TTTTTAATCTTTTTTTTTTTTTTTTTTTTTTTTCGGAGTAAGCTCTCTCATGGGCGATCGGTTTGCACGGACGAAGCATACTGGCGCGTTTCAATTAACTCGATACCACGTCAGCCGTGCGTTTTCCAGCATGTCGCGAGAAAACGTCATTGTGAAATATGTATCCCATATGGGATGTTCCTCGGCTATAGGGGCTTTAAAAACATCCTAGAAATGGAAATGAAGATATATCGGTCGAGTGGCGCGCGATGGCGTTGGCAGAGCCGTTGTTTACGAGTCAACTTTATCGCGAAAACGCCAACATGGACACGTATATCCGCCTCGCATTCCCCAACCCTTTTTCCATCCCTTCCTCGGCCTCTCTCCCCCGACAACCGAGTTCTTTCCATCTGCACCTGACTTCCCGCCCTTCTTTCACCCTCTGCCCGAATTTCGTCCATAAACTTTTCTACAGTGAGATACCGCCTGATCGGGCGCGATTACATTTTTCCGCTTCGTCTTTGCGGCCGATCAATTCGACCGACAGCTTCGATTTCGTGCCTCACATCTGGCAGCGGACTACTGAAATTTTCACGAACCCTTGTCAGGTCTTTGAATTTAGATTTCGCAAAGATTATGATAGAAATCTGAAATATCTTTATATGTCACGTCGCATTAGAAAATGCGAACGTAAATGATTGTATATAGTAATGTATTTTATTATATAGGATATAAATATATAGGATATATATAAATATATCCTACCTGAGAGAATTTCGTTAAATTAATTATTAACTATTTATATAATGTTTATTAGAAATTAAAAATAAATAATTACAAACATTAATTATGTGACATGAAGAAAATATATTTTCGAATCAATGATATCAAATGATATCAGGCATGTTAAAAAAAAAGATGAACAAAAAAAAATATTTGGTATAAATAATTTTATAACGCTTAATATCACCTTAGCTTTAAATATAATTTATTCACCTCGATAAATCCGAACGCATATAATACAAATTATATATGATACAAAGTACATCACAGCGCTGCGTAGAGAGATTAAGCCTGTCCGCAAAACCGTCGTTATATAACATTGATGACAACCGAGCACACGTAAATTAGCGCATAAATTATCAGACATCGTCTAATCGAAAGCGATTACCACTTTCCAGCGATCCATCCAACGTAGCGACCTCACCAACATACCATTTCGCATTCACAGTAAATTCACAGAACGCTACCGAAAAAGAACGAAAAAGAAAGAAAACAGATATGTGTGATACTTGTAATTAACGAACGAATGCCATAGTCACTCTCACCGTGCCGCGGCCGGAAACCGGCGACTCAGTCTTACTAACCTTCGATTTCAGGTCCTCCCGTCGAGGTGGGCGTCACCATGTACGTCTTGAGTATCAGCTCCCTATCCGAAGTGAAAATGGTACTACCTCTAGGTCTTACTCAGTAATTCTGCTGAAAGTTACATTACTATCGTTCTCGGCTAAACACAAAATCCGCCCTTCCACTCCCCCGCCCGCCCGTCGGTCTCTTCGGCCAAGCGATCATACGTTTTTTAGTGCCCGTGCATTTTCAAGTCAACGATTGCCGCTGATCGTTACTGAACTGCAATTAGCATTTTTTACCCACCGACATACATGCACAGATACACCTAGGAGACTTAGGGCGGAAACACAAAATCTTGCGTAACGCATAATGCATAATACATAAGAAAATGAATCAATCAAAGTCTTTTATTTCTTTCCTTTTCACAAAATAACAGACTCTCATTGGTTGATTTTCTTATACCTTATGCGCTATGCAATACTCTGTATTTCTGCTCTTACACGCACGGTAACACGAGTGCGGATATATATCCGGTTCTACACTGTTGTACATACACGCGCACACGAGTGTGCATTTTTCTCGTTTGTTTTCATCACCCTCGCAACGAATGAAACAATTATCGTTTTCAATTATTCAATTACATAAAGTCAGAAGATTTTATTTCATACAATATAAACTATCATTCTATTTGTGTTATGTATGTTTGCAACTATTAAAACACGTAAACATTCTGTTATTATTGTCTCTTTCTTCTCGAAACAGATACTTGAGTATCGCGCGATGGTATTTCGAGTAAATGATTTATTTCAAAAATCAACAAAGGTAACGAGAGAGCAACGCATGTTGATTCTAGTGGTCGACTCCAATGTTGATTGCATTAACAATCAACGTTGCATCTATGCGGGTGCATCTCTCATGCTATCCGTATCGCCTGAGTAAATAAATTCATTCGTATCGTTAATCACTAATTGGGGCGATACTTTCAGCGATCGAATCGGATCTTCAATAAACGACTCATTGTTTAATATATTCTCTGAAGCATGAATTATCTTCTC